GGGTTCAATTCCCGGCTTAGCCACTTGCGCCCTGATATTTTTTCTCTCTTCCCTTCTTTCTAATAATTCCTATCAGTACATACTGATTCTTCATATGTGAGAACAATGTACTAAAAATTTTCGTACACTTTAAGTATTTCGAACCAGAGATCGGTGTACAAATTTAACTGTCTCACGTAGACTAACAAATTAAATTAAAAATCGTTTTAATATATATAGCCAATAGAGCAAGAGCTGGATCGATTTGCTCAAAAATTCCTTTTATTTATAAAATTCTACAAACGTTTCGGTCAAGGTACGTGGCCATCTTCAGTGTAATACAAATTTTAAAAATTTAGTACATGATTAGCGAAGCTTTGGTACTATTTTTGACTAAGGAAACGCATCCTCTGATAAACGTGTAGTACAATGTGGTTAGTAAAGTTATATACGTGTGAAGCCACGGACCGTCTAACTTAACGGTTCGTCACTACTATGTAAAAGCAATTAAAACTGTGACATGTGTCCACGGATGTGAGTGGGACTCGACTGGTGCGACTCGACGAATTTTTGAGCAAATCGATCCAGCTCTTGCTCTATTGGCTATATATATTAAAACGATTTTTAATTTAATTAAGGAAGAGCAATAACCAATTATTATTGTATTCTAACAAATTAATTTCTTTAAGAAAAATTATAATTTCGCACTAACATCCCGCGACGGCTCTCTATGCCTTTCTATTATATTAATTGAGAATTATTTATCTTTAATATCTCAATTATTCAATTCAGATCAATTAATTAAGTTTCATTTAATCAAAATATATATAAAAGTCAAGTTTCTTTTTAAGACTTTGATTAGTGATTATATCTAATAAACATGGAAAAACGTAATCGTTATGTAATGCGTTGTTATTTTTTAAAATTACCATTATATTCATATATTTATTACTTGTAAATAATAGGTATATTGATTGACTTACATGTTCTTGGAAATACAGGAACAGAAACAAGATTAAATTGAAACGAGTAATTTCAGATGCACGATCTTAATTTCGAGCAAAATTAAGATAAAAAATGCTTAATTAAATTAAAATTAAAAATGCTTTATTACGTCACAATTTTAAGAAATTTAAGGTAAAATTTGGAAAAATGTGCTATTTACTACATAATTTTAATACATAATTTCTATTGTGTACATTGCAATGAAATATCATAAAAAGATATACAAATATTCCAAAAATATCTTGAGATATATCAATACTTTAGTATTTTTTTAATATGTACACTAGCGATACACTGTAATTATACTGTAATTTTAACTGTGGCATCGCATAAGAAACACTTTACTTCTGATTTTTCTTTGTATTTAGATATGTGTGAAAGACTAAAAAAATTAATCAAATTTTTTATACATTTATAAATATTAATTATTTAAATAAATATTTATTTACATTAAAATATCTGTAACAGAATCCGAATTTTTTTAGTGAGTTAAAGATTTGATCCTATAATCGTCAACTGATAGTACAATTAAAGACGCGGAACTAATTCGGAGAAATGCAATCCTATTGCAAGCACGCCAGTTTTCGACGCCAGTTTTTTCCAGTTTCTTTAATAACTCCCTCAAATAACCTTACTTGAATATAACCTTTGCATTGAGATAACCAATCAGCGACGCGGAAAAGTGTCAACAATAAACTTCGAGACTTTCAATACATTCGAGTATCGATCTTTCATGCCTTTTTTAAGAGAGGACTAGAACAATACAAGCGCGCGCTGCGCGCGCGCACTTATTATAATAATTT